GTGAGTTGGCCATCCTGAATTGCATAGCAAGACCCTGTCTCAAAAAGATGAAAATAAAATGTAGTTCACTATAACAGAAACTTTCTTCCTTTGAATACCTTTTTCAAATCCCCAGATTTAAAACAAATCACTTTCCTCAAAGGATTTTACCTCTGGGTGGATGGCTGTGGCAGAACGCCCAAGGATTGAGAAACGGAAGATCAGCTCATTTGGTTAACTTTCAGCTACCATTTGCTTTTCATAAACTGTATTTTGTGTTCTTCTTTAACTGTAGGGTATAGAATCAAATTCTTTTTTTTTTTGGTCTTTTTGAGACAGGGTCTGGCTATGTAGTTCAGGCTGGCCTTGAGCTCACTCTGTAGCTCAGGCTGGCCTCAAACTCGCAAGGATCCTCCTGCCTCAGCCTCCCGAGTGCTAAGATTACAGGCATGTGCCACCACGCCTGGCTAGAATCAAATTCTTGACAGAAAAATTTACACAGTGTGTATGACTACGTGGACCACAAAGGAATGTGGGCCGATGTATCTGGCTTCAGAATTTCAGGTTAAATCTGTAACTTAGTACTTAACCCGCCTCTGCTCTGAATTCTCCTTCTCAGCTACAGCACTGATAATCCAGATAATTACTGATAATCCTCAGCAAGCATTACCCAGAAGCCAGTCATTTAGCAAACATTTAACAGGTGTTTTCTCTGCACTGGCAACTCGGGAGATGAGGAGTGTCCCCGATCAAACACAGGACTAGGAGGCCAAGCAGAGATGTCTTGGTCCACCCCATTGTGAGAACGACATCAAATCAAATGTGCTGCGGTGGGCAGGTCAGTAGGGGCAGTCTGACAAACATAGGCCTCTACTGCACAGGCCATTCTGCACGTCTCAGTCAGCCCGATTACAGTACCACGCTGCGTTAGCACTCACTGCGCTCAGACACACAGACCTAAGTCACACATTACCAACATTTCAGTTAGATTCTGAAAACCGCTCATGCTCAAATCAGTAGCAAGTGTAATTATTCTTTATTTTAAGAAAGGAGAAACTAGCTAAAAATAACAAACAAGCAAATACAGTCACACCAGGACAAACTCAAACCTGTTAAAGAAAGTGGAGTACTAACCCTCCAGTACCCTTGATGGGATTATTGATTAGCTAAGCACTCGATGAAAATTAACTCATATTGCTGAGTAAATATAAGTGAAGCGATAAGCCTTTTCCCCAGTTTATTTTTATAGTTTATTTTCCTTGCGTTTATTGCCCTCTCCCGTCACATACACACTATTTTCAAGAAACACGATGAGCCAGGAGTTGGGTGTGGTGGCGCACGCCTGGAATCCCAGCATTCTGGAGGCTGAGGCAGGAGGATCGTTGCAAGTTTGAGGCCAGCCTGAGCTACAAAGTGAGTTGAAGACCAGCCTGACCTACGCCATGGCGAGACCTTGTCTCAAAAACATAAAAACAAAAAGCAAAAGAAATACTGATGAAAACACAGAGTCAAAATCTAGCAACTTGAAATGAAGATTTACCTTTACATGGTAACGGTCCCTCTGTTATTTATTCTATGCCTATTTGGAAGAATGTGCAAGTTTGTTCCCACAATGGGATAGCTATAAAGACAAAAATCTGTTCAAGTCACTAAAAATTCTTCTTTTTAAAAATGAAGTTTTTTTTTTAAAAGTTCAATAGAAGTGCACACCTTAAAAAAAATGGAAGTGTTTAATTGAACTAATCTGCCTAAAATTCACCAGAAGTGCTTGATCTTGCATATAACACAAGGGCCTATATGAACAGGTGATTCCAAGAGAAATGTAGGTGAAGTAAGACACTGATAGTGAGCAGAAAAATGTAAAGGAAACATTTGATTCTGCCCAAATTTCATATCCAGTTGATGACAGACACAACTTCAGATCTTTCTGTTAAGGCAGTTATATAAAATTCACTATGACTAAGAACTGTAGACAATGTGATATCCACTGAACTGCTGTTGCTAAAACTTCTACTGAAATGATTTCAAGTGTAAAATTTAGATTAGCCATAACCCCCATATTATTTTTAAAGTGAAAATCAACGAAAGTCAGCATGATGGTGCACGCCTATAATTCCAGCACTCAGAAGACTGACGCAGGAGGATCACTGTGAGTTTGAGGCCAGCCCGGGCTACATCGTAAGTGCAAGGCCAGCCTGAACTGCAGAGCGAGATCCTGTCTCAAAAAGAAAAAGAAAGGAAGGGAGGGAGGGAAGGAAGAAGGGAGGGAAGGAGGAAGGAAGGAAGGAAAGAAGGAAAAAAGAATAAATCAACAGGAACTTATCCCTTTGGCCAGGGAAAGAAAGAGAGAGAGAGAGAGAGGGAGGGAGGGAGGGAGGTAAGAGAAAGGGAGGGAAGGAAGGAGGGATGGAAAGAAGGAAGAGAAAAAGAATGAAAGACAGAAAAGAAAGAAAAAGAAGAAAGAGAAAGAGAGAAAGAAAGAAAGAAAGAAAGAAAAAAGAAAGAAAGAAAGAAAGAAAGAAAGAAAGAAAGAAAGAAAGAAAGAAAGAAAGAAAGAAAAAGAAAGAAAGGAAGAGTCAATCAATCAACAAGAACTCATCCCTTTGGCCAGGTAAGAATTTCTTGAGCTGTGGTTAAAAAGAAAAAGTTAAAATACATTTAAGACTGTGAGGTCTCTTGAAAGAATTCTTATAAATACAACTTTTAAGATAACCTGATTCAAGGACCTTTCAGATACCCAAATCCTTGGACACTTAAGTTGACTATATAAGATGGCAGAGTATATGACCGGTACACACCCTCCCATATACTTCAAATCGTTTCTAGATGACGTATAATACCTAATCCAATGTGAGTGTACATAAATAGTTATACTGTATTGCTCAGGAAATAATGACAAGGAAAAAAGTCTGTACAGCATATATTGGTTTGTTTGTTGTTTTTTTTTTTTTGTCTTTTTGAGACAGGGTCTCACCATGTAGTTCAGGCTGGTCTTGAACTCACTTTGTAGCCCAGGCTGGCCTCGAACTCTCAATGATCCTCCTGCCTCAGCCTCCCAAGTGCTGGGATTACAGGCATGCGCCACCATGCCCGGCGGTACACATACAATTTTTTAAAAATATTTTTGATCACTCACCAAAAGGCTGAAAGTCATTCACATGGTTTCTTACAATAACAAATAACAAGGTTTACTTAACTGTTCATAATATGAAATTTTAGAGCTTCTAAAAGTGTTTGAAAACTAAGAAGGAGGATTTCAAAATTTCTAAATTGTGACTGAACTTGGGAAAGGACGTGAAAACCACCGCAAAAGACATCCTGAGGGCACTGCTCCGCTCTCTCCTCCTGCAGGGTCCTCTCCTCCTAGTCGGGCTTCCTCCCAGAACTCCTGGTGGCTTCCTGCTCGGCCTCTGCCCTGTACTTGTCACCTGACCCTCGCGTGTGCAGTTCTGGCCTCCACCCCCTCGCTCAGAATAGCACAGCTACTCACATACACTCGCCACATCCCAGAGTGGCGCATCTGACTGGGGCACCCTCCCCTAGTACCAGCCACACAGAAGTGCGTGCTCCTCCCCGGCAGGGCCCACACTCCCCTGACGGAGCTCTTTTACAAATTCCGTTCCCTCTGGCTGAAAGTCCCTTTCATTTCCCTGCAGGAACCCTTCTCCAACACCATGCAGTGCCGCCTCCTCGTGGGTCCTTCTATCCCGCCCGGCTTCAAGACATCTCCTTCAATGTCATGCTGGACTTCCCAGTGCTTTTATTTTTATTTATTTAAATTTTTGGGTTTGTTTTTTTTTTCCGGTACCGGGAATCGAACTCACGACCTCGCGCTTGTGCCGCTGAGCTAAATCCCCAGCCCCCCCAGTGCTTTTAAAGGCAGTAATATTCCACCTTGTGTCACAACTGAAAGGCAACTCGTGTACGGCAGAAGCTATATAGCTCACACTCCTCCCTGAAGCAGCTGGCACAGTGCCTCACATGCTGTGGGCCCTCAAGTATGTACTGATCCAACTACCCGGGTCTGCTCCACAGAACTCACTGGAAGGCAAGACTTAGGGCTCTACTCCACGGAACTCACTGGAAGGCAAGACTTGGGGCACATAAATACCAAGTTAAAGGGCCAGGGATGTGTTCTGAGAGAAAGCTTCAGAACATGAAAAATGGTAAATGGGAAAAATATTTTACTTCTGTGAGATGAGAACCTATACGTTTTTGTGAAGTTATGAGGGACAACAGACACAGACAGACAGACAGACAGACACACACACACACACACACACACACACACACACACACACACACAAAGCTCTCTTTCCAGGTGTAGTGGTACACGTCAGTTCACAAACGTAATTTTTTCCAAAGTTCTGGCCACAAAGCAAACTGGCTGAGAACCGAATCAAATTCAACAGTTTTAAATTTAATGTTGACCTTGTAGGGAGATCTGATTCACTTCTTATCCAATTCGGTTTTCGAGCAGAATTGTTGAAAGGATTAAGTTTGTGACGGAGACACCACTGTAAATAATAAATGAACTAAAGGAGAGTAACCTTTAAAAACAATTAACTCAATCATTTTCCCCAGTCAAGTTGTAAAAATACAAGAAATGTTAGCTAACAATCTATTACAATGAAATCATCAACAGGCCCCACAGCACTATAGAACCAGCCCCAGGACACGCTGGCTCCTTCTTTGCCACTCCCAAGGAACAGGAAGCCAGGCTAAAGGTCATGAGCTTTTCGTCAATTATGGTTTCCAGAAGAGAAAGAAAGAATAAATGAATGAATGAGGAGATTTAATGAGACCTAATTCACAATCCACTAAAAACCAGTCCTTCTCAAAACATTTGTGGAAATATTTTAAATATTTCCTCACTGCTGCACACAGATAGTTTTAAAATCCAATACAAAGGTCTACCAGTTGACACGTACTTCCCCTATTTCATTTGTCATGGACCTGTGCAGCTCCATTTCCCCCAACACGGACCCCATAGGCTAGAAATGGGCAGGTCGAGGGCCTACCTTCTGTTCCTGGACTTCAAACACCGCTTCGTGGACACTGCAGGCGAAAAGGGAGGTAGGCAGGTCACTTAAATCCATCATCTCTTCCAAATCATCCTCATTTTCACCAAAAACCATCTCTTCTTCCTCTTCCTGATCACTGCTACAGAGATCCGACTGGCTGTCATTCCAAGATTTCATACTGTCCCTTAGCATTGTCCCCTACAAGCGGGTCCTTCCCGTTTTGAAAATTCTAGGACGTGTACCAGGCGCCTACTGTTAAAACAAAAACAACGCAGAGCTAGAACTTTGAAGACCACATAACGTTCCGAGCAATCAGTTTCTTCAGACAGCAATTCATCAAGTGAAGTAATTTTAGGCAGGAAAGATCAATCAGCATTTAAATCAAGTCATTGCAGTCCTCATAAATGAATTCCATACAGGGGAATTTGATTTGCTTAGCATATTTTGCAAAGGCAATGATATATTAAGAAGAAAATAAGCATTTCCTAGTGAAACTGGGACAGAAAGGATAAAACGAGATCATATCAATATGTACGCTAGTTTACAAGCAGTAGGAAGGGAAATGAGAACCAGAACTGCTTTCACATATTTGTTTTGGGTTTTAGGTCTAAAACACTGCAACTGGCAAAGCAGAATCAAACCCACACGCAGCCCTCACCATCTGCACCCTGAAATATGGTCTGCAATGCACTGACTCTGCCTTTCTCATCCAAGTTTTTTCTTTTTGAGTATCGTCTCCAAAGAATTAAATTACTCAGAACCAAAACACTCTCTATAAAGTCAGTTTTTGTGAGTATATATGAGAAATATTTACAGTTGGCAAAATTAAACAGAGAAGACAATCCAAAAGATGTCTTTTTCCAAAATTTCTAAACATCACTAATTTTAAGCCAGTGGCCTGGAGCTGACAGCGCCCCTCTGTTAAACAGGAGAACAGAATCTGTCTTCAGGGACTGCATGTGCCTGCCTGGCTCCTTCAGGGAACTGCACACCACGCCCACAGAGCAGAGTCCCATGGACACGACACATTCTGAGATGTCAGCACAGATATGAAGAAAAACCTATGGGTCACAGAAACATGCAGTGATCAGGATTATGGCTCCTTCAATATGTTCTAATTTGTGATTTTCCATTTTATTTGAAAGAATATAAGGTCACAAATATATTGCTTTATATATGTCTACTGCTTCTATACAGCACATTACAGAATGTTAATATAATGGTGCCGGGCGTGGTGGCACACGCTTGTAATCCCAGCACTCGGGAGGCTGAGGCAGGAGGATCGTTGGGAATTTGAGGCCAGCCTGGGCTACAAAGTGAGCTTAAGGCCAGCCTGAACTGCACAGTGAGACCCTGTCTCAAAAAAAATAAAAAAAGGTAAAATAGGGTTTTTTCATTATTCTACTGCATCAATCAAGACTAATTCTAAAAGGTAAAATCTTTACTTGTTTTTACAGACGTTCTTGGAGAGCCTACTGCTTTGTACTGGGGGATATTCGTGAATAAGACATCGTTCCTACCTTCCCGGAGCAAGAATTTCTGCAGTGACACTGGCCATACTGGGCTCCTAAAGAATCTTGTCCCACTCATTGTCTGCACATTCTCCACTGCTCATTCTGCAGCTGCTCCTTGGCCTTGGCAAATGAGTGAATGCATTCACGGTCCCCACCATTGGGATTCTGCCTCTCTCCTGCCCTCTCCTGCCAATTTCTTGGAAAGAGGCATCTGTAACTATTGTGTTCGCTTCCTCGACGCCAGACACTCCTGAATTGAGTCCAGCTGGATTTCTGCCATCATCCTTTAGCTCCAACTGTCCTCATTCTGGTCAGCAACGGTCTCCTGATAGTTGGAACCTTATTTCAGACCTCAGCCTGTCTCTGCAGCACACGACCCCACCACCCGCCCGGTCCATTCCCAGACTTCTCTGTGCCCTGCCTCTCGGTCTGTCCTCCTCACCAACCGTCTTTCCAGGTGGCTTTTCTTTCTCAGTCCCTCTTCCCACAACGGTCTCTCTGAGGTTACAGCCCCACCCTCTTTTGCTCGGCTTACTCTCCCTGGGTGGTTTGACTCACATGACAGCCTTAAACTTGAGGCCCACACTCAGCCTGAACCACCTGTGGGTCTTAAATCGGTTTCCTGCTTCCCTGTGGTCTACACTCAGCTACTTTAATACTGTCTCCCATTTCACACGGTTCTTGAGCCGGGAAGGACAGCACCGAAGCTGTGGGGGAAGGAAGAGCGCAGTCTCTGAGTCCCAGGCAATTGAAAGGATGGGTAGTTTAGAAAAAATACCAAGTCCCCAAGAGACTCACAGGTGCCCACTGGCTTTTCTTACCTCTGCACACTTAAACCATGATCTACAGACCACTGTCACATACGTACACCACCCCCGCTCCTGAGCTTTAGCCCTGTATTTTAGCCTTTCACTGAACCTAGATTTACCTGGGTCCTACAATTGTTTTTAACTTATCCCTTCCATTAGATCATGCGCCAGAAATCTCCGTCTGAAGCGGGTCCTGGGAGGGTGGAGGCCGCCGGAAGGGATCGCATTGTGCCTCTCACTGCAAACTCTTCTTTAGCACTAAGCTGTCAGGCGGCGTTTGGGGCTCTCACGGCACTTTGCTGATTTCTCTGTCCTCTATTTGTGTTCTGGTTATTTGTTTATAAATCACTCCTAGCTACCAGACTGTGAGTTCCTTTGAATCCTCTTTTCCTTGAATCCCGGGCACAGTTTCCAGCTCACAGTTGCTTAATAAAGGACTACTGACAAAAAGCAGACGGCACCGTGATTCCCCCGCTGACAGGTCAGCACGGGCAAAGGGAAATTCAATTCCGCCTGGGATTAGACAGCTTCCCAAAGGAGGTCACCATGGGACTTTCAAGGGTGAGCCGAGCTCCAGCAGGGAAAGAGTGGAGTGCGCTCCGGGGAAAGCCACCGGCGCACGGGCCACGTGCTCGCAGACCAGCTGCTCCGGTGTGGCCACAGGGAGCCCTCGGGAGCGGGTGGCGGGCGCCGAAGCCAGGAAGGCAGGGGTGCGCCAGGCTGCCACACAAGTGGGGCTGCAGAGTTTTAGGCAGGGAGATGCCAGAACCAACCACTTTAACTTTTGGTATCATTAAAAGCGAGCTGTCTTTCTACCTAGATGTTATTATCTGCCCCCTGCCAACCCATCAAAAAGAGGTAGGCAAAGTAATGCCCAGTTTTTCCGCAGGGTGCCAGGTTTTGAAATCTCAGAGAGTCAGCCTACTTTTGAGGAGATGTTCTGAGGTTTATTTTTAGTGCTGGGGATTGAACCCAAGGCTGGGCACATACTGAGTGTGTTTTACCACTGAGCTACACCCCCAGCTTCTTGATAAGATTTTTTTGTTGTTGTTTCAAGTTCTTTCCCCCAAGCCTTAAGAGAAGAAAAAGAGCACAGGAAATAATCCTTCACTGATTTAAAAACAAAATTCTTAGAATATCATACCTTCGTTTCCTGTTTTCTACCTTCAATTTTAGGTATTTTTTTCTTTTGATATAGAAGTTATAAGAATAGAACAAGGGGGCCAAGGACATAGCTCAGCGGCACAAGCGCCTGACAAGCGTAAGGTCCTGAGTTTGATTCCTGGTACAAAAAACAAAACAAAACAAACAAACAAACAAAAATAGCAGAAGGACAGAACAAGGAACTCCTGAACATCCTTTGCCAAGAGTTACCAATTTTGCCTATTTGCTTTATTATTCTATTTTTTTTATATATCTCAGACCCACTGAAAATAAGATGGAAAAAATATATATATCCTTTCGCTCCAAAATCACTTTTAATATGTAAGAACAATACTGCTTTCTTACATAACTCATGGCATCAAAGGAGGAAATGCAGCCCTGACATAATACTGTTACCTGATCTACAGTATATACTCGTTTTGTCAGTTATCCCAATAATGTCCTATTTATAGCTATTCTTCCTTCAGAGTTTTTAGATTAGTATTACTTTATTTCTGTGTGGCCCCAGATATTTTAATAATCTTTAATTATAGCACTGATTCATTTTCTTATACATTTCTAGATACTGGAAAAGGATGGATCACAGATGTACCATGGGGATTGGCAGCAAGTCTGAGAGACCTTAAGTGAGCTCCAGAGACAGAGGCTCAGGCTCTATCACCAGCCCTTCCAGATCGGAACGCTGGCTCCCTCGGACTCTCTGTTAGGTAAATGACTCTGCTGCTCTGTTTCTGTTTCCTCAAATATAAAACAGAGATGATAATAATAATCCTTACCCAATAAGGATATTAGGAGAATTAAATAAGAAAGTGCATACTAAGTACTCAGACTAATTTTTTGCATAGAGTCAATGCTTAATAATCTATTTTATTTTACTTTATTTTTCATCTTTTTGAGACAGGGTCTCGCTACGCAGTTCAGGCTGACCTTGAACTCACTTTGTAGCCCAGCCTGGTCTCGAAATCCCAATGATCCTCCCGCCTCAGCCTCCCGAGGGCTGGGATTACAGGCGCGCGCCACCAGGCCCGGCCCAATAATCTACTATTTTAACATAAGCAGAGTCTGTGTTAAGGCACTGTTGGGTTAAAAGAACCTCAGTAGTATAAGAAACAATGGTGAAGTGATATTCAAATCATAAAGTGAAAAAAAAAAATCCCCAAATGATCTAATTCCAACCATCCAAAGGCAACAAAAAACGCAACACTTTATATCATTTCAAAAAGCTACTCAGTAGCAGACATCAATAAAGTGAGTCCCTGACAACTACTACAGGTAGTAACCTGGGCCCAGCATAAAAATATTTACAGTTTTCTTTTTTAAGAATTAGCTGGAAGAGGACATGGTGCCCTTTTATGGGCCTTATAGAATTTCAAGGCATTGTGCAAATGCACATGGTATCACTGTCATTCAGATGTTGGCTTTTTCCCCCTGAGGATAAACCATGAGGGTTTTTTGGATATAGCTAAAGTCAGCTGTGTCAACCACTTCATAATTTTCTGACGTCATAATTGCAGTTAAATTTGAAAAGGATGAGAACTATGTAAGGAGATGGTAGAAGATAGCTGTTACTTTGAAGGTAAACTCGGTTTCACTGGGCCAAGTAAAACACTGCAGAAGTCTGTGGGCTCGCTACAGATAGTACCGCTAACTTTGTGCCACGCATTATGAGATGAAGCTCTCCTCCATTCACTAACCCCAGGAACCCTGGCCTGGCCCAGCGGGAAGAGCTGAACCCATATCCCCCAGCCTCTGTAAGCG